CATACTACTACTCTGGAGCCTCAGTTATATTTTCGATAGAGTGAACATCGGACTGCACAGGGATGAGGGATTGATCCTCCGACGTAACTCCAAACCACAAAAAAACTGACCGGCTTAGGAAACAGATAATCAAATTCTTTAGGGATCACGGACTTAACATCACCGCTCTCACCAACGCCAAGGTGATCAATTTACTGGACACTATGTTCGATCTATCCATAGGAGTGTATATGTCTTATAATAAGGAACTTTATAATCATAAATATATTAGTAATGAATCTAGCCACCCACCATGTATTCTTAATAACCTCCACAAATCTGTGCAGCATAAGCTCTCTACTAACTCCAGCAGTAAACACATCTTTGACAAATACACAACCAAATACGTCGATGCATTAAATAGAAGTAAGCATAATATTGAACTAAAGTACATCGCTAACACTAGTATGAATACCAATAGTAAATCTAAGAAAAGAAAGCGCAAAATTATTTGGTTCAACCCGCTCTCTAACGGTAACGTCAGGGTCAACATCGGTAGAACGTTTCTTAGGTTAGTACACACACATTTCAGTTATAATCCCTTACTTAGAAAAACAAGAACAACGTTAAGGTTAGGTACAGCTGCACTAAAAAAACTTGAACAATATTTAACTCAATATAACAGTGTAACCCATCACTAATAAACGCCCCCATCACTAATGGAAAGAGTGATAACAGATACTGGACTTGAGAAACCTATTTTCCTGAAAAATTGTTTTTCTAGAAAGATTTTATAAATTTCAAACGACGTTATTATTATTATTACATGTGAAAATTATTTTGTAAATTTCAAAACGGCGGTAGTACTGGCTGGAAAACGGATAATATTGCCATCACATTAACAACTGTATATATTAAGAAGCTTGTGAGCGACTCTTCATAATACTACTATGGAGGCTCAGATATATTTTCGATAGTGGGAACACCGGACTATACAGGGACGATGGTTTGATCTTTCTACGTAACTACACGCCACAAAAAAAGTGACCGGTTTAGAAAACAGCTAATCAAATACTTTAAGGATCACGGACTTAACATGACCACTCACACCAACGCCATGGTGACCAATTTACTGGACACTACATTCTATCTATCCAGCTTCATCAACCACAAGGAAAGTTGGTTCTCTGTGTCGCGCCAGAAGGTTTTTCTCGTCTGAGTCGATCTTTCAAATCTACGAATCTACCATTCGTCCTTGCACTGAATACTGTTGCCATATATGGTATGGTGCCCCGGCTGTTCATCTTGAGTATCTCGACAAAATCCGAAGACGAATATGCAACGTGATAGGTCCTGACCTGGCATCTCGACTCCAGTCACTTTCTCACAAACGTGATATTTCTTTCCTCTGTCTTTTCTACAAATATTTTCATGGCAACTACCCTGACGAGCTATTTTCACTAGTACCCCAACTTCACGAATTTAAGCGTGCTACTAGGTTCGCATCTCGGACCCACCCTTTTACTGTCGAAACAGTTAAATGTGACCGTCTCTTCTACTCCAACCAACAGCTTCTTCTCTCACATTTCCCGACAGTGGAACTCCTTATAACAATAATCTTCAAAAATTTAAATGTAATGTCAATCGACATCTTCTGTTGGCTTGATCTTGATTCTCGTACTTCTTTTTATCCTTCACTAAAACACCCCTCTTTACTCATGCTCTCACTCTCTGTAACCCCCTTGCGTTCTAGTGGCATTCCCGCCTTGCTTGGGGTGAAATGGTTAAAAAAAAAAAACAAAAAAAACTTAAGTGTTTCCAGTGGTTCTTATGAAAAATGTTGTCATGATGGCTAAACCTCTTCTCTGAAAACCCGGGAAAAAGAAACTCAAATAATTTATTTATTTATTTTTTTTTTTTTTTTTACGAATTAAACATTTTGGGGATGGACAATTATCCCATGCTGTTACACGATTAGGACAAACTTGCTGTTACATCCGGTATATATATATATATATATATATATATATATATATATATATATATATATATATATATATATATATATATATATATATATATATATATATATATATGTATACATTTATGTACAATATGAATAGACTAAAATTATAAGGTAGATATCTACTTTTACTAATTCGGTATATTCATATCTGTGACACATTGCATTATTAGAAATATTCATAGAAATATGATTTAATTTTTTTTTTTTTTACTCGGTTTATTAAACAGGTTGTTGATTTTTTTTTAACGGAAAATAATTGAGTTGAAAATAATTCACTAAAGTTGTACTCAGACGATCTAAGGAAAGAAGAAGGAAGGGGAAAGAAAAGAGGAAAAAGGAAAAAAGGAAAGAGATGGATGATGCATGACCCGGTCATAAGCGAAGATAGGTGTCAGAAAGATATCTTGGCCTGCGTGTTGGCCGAATTTTAAAAGACAATGAGAATTGTTATTTGAAATGAAAAATCATTTAGAGGGAGAAAAAGAACCAGGCTTGATGACAGTGTATTGTCGATTGATAAGGATATCGGTCAAAGCACCTAGCCTACTTTTTGCGTGGAAAGACTCATTGTCAAATTGGAGAAAGGGAATTTCTTTTTAGAACAATAGAAACGAAATTTTGTTAATCGGAGAAAAAGTGTCTTTTTGGGTTGAGGGGAGGACCGGTGGAACTGTATACAGATTCTGACCTATTAAGAATTGGAAACCCACGATAATAAAGTGGGGACATTTTCAATGTAGATAATTAAGATTTTTCTGACTGTCGGGTCTGACAAAAACAAGAGGTGAAAAAACGATTGTCTCAGCTCACAGATGGCGCCAATATTCTTTCCTGAAGTCACATCTAATTAGCGGCAGGCTGTTTTGACAGAGCCCAGGTGAAAAAAAGCCAAGATTGTCATTTTTCGTACGTGCAAAAGGGCAAAAATTAGATTTTGTTTTTTAAAACAAGAACGATGTAAGCCACGCCCGATTTGAGATGGAGGCGCCCAACCACAATCTCATTAGCCAAAAGCGGTCACGTGATATGCGGAAAGAAGAGGAAGAATGCTCGATCAGGAACCATTGGTCAAAAAAAAAAAAAAAACGGTCACCTGACATACGAGAAACCGGGAGAGATGGGTGTACGCCTCCCCACCAAAGGCACTGTGAGGAAGTAGGGGTGAAAACAATAGCGATAATGGGAAACAGAATTAATGCGGCTATTGGAATTATCGAGAAACCCCTGACGCCAACAGACCCACCCCGGTTTGCTGCGGCGTCAATAAAAAGCAGGACCCCAGTCGACAGAAATCAGTTGAGTTGAGAGTAGCGGCTGAGTTGCAGCTGGACCGCGGGCAGGGATAGAGCCTGAACGCGGGCATCAGGCCCGATTCACTCGCCCCTTTGCGGGCAAGAGAATCCTCAGACAAGAAATCCTTCCACCCAAGTCGAAGACAAGAGAACTTCCAGCCCAAGCAGACGAAGAAGGAGATTGCTCGAAGGACGCCAAGAGTTGTGGCAGAGTTACGGCAGAGTTACGGCAGAGTTCAGCCCCGGACGGCAGCGAGAAGAGATCACCTCGGACGACAGAGAGTAGCGGCTGAGTTGCGGCAAGAAATCCTTCCACCCAAGTCGAAGACAAGAGAAGTTCCATCTAAGTCGACGAAGAAGAAGAAGTTGAAATCAAGCCCAGCCGAGAACAGAATTCGACCCATCCAGATCGAAGTGAAGAAATACAACTCAAGTCGAAGAGAAGAATCAACTGCGAATGATTGACAGAAATTAGCCCCAGAGTCGAACTAGACCACACTCCGACATACATAATTCTGAAGAGTAGACAACTCGAAATCTTTAAGTTGTATGATAGAGGCTTGGTGCCATAGTCCACAAAGCGGGTCGGGAAATAAGAACAATTTTTCTTTGTGTAACGGACATTAGATATAAAAGGTTGTCACCCTTTTTTATCAGTAATTTTTGTCTCGTGAGTTTTTTTCTTTTACTTGTGTTTTGCCACCCCGTCGGACTCAACTTGTATCGGCCCCAATCCTGCTGGTCCCGTCTGTCTAAGATCTAAACACAACGTGGGTAGATAGACCGGAGATCAGTACAGTTGCTTCAGTAACCAGGTATTGGAAGCGAGTTGGGAAAGGCGAGGCTGGTGATCATCTAACCAAGGGGTTGGAGCGGCACGCTTGGAACCAGGAGGGAGACGACCAGGAGGAGCGACGTCACAGTTTAACGCCGTAACCAAAAGATTCGACCCTGGGCCAGTGTGTAACTGTCACATATCTATTTTTAAGACATTTTTATGCTGATACGCCCTTTTTTTATAGATACAAATATTTAAGTAAATGCTCTGTTTATAATAAAGAGTATTAACAACATTTGCCGGCCTTGCTAACCGAAGTGCTCCTCTGTGGCTAAATCGGTAAAGCACGTCAGGCTATATGACGGTTCCGTATACGATACAGGTTCGATTCCTGTCAGAGGACGCATGTTTTCTCTGAAAATTTCTCAGACATTCAGGCTGGTAAATGTCGTTAATACTGTTTATTATAAAGAGAGCATTTGCTTAATTATTTGTATCGATAAAAAAGAATGTATAAACATAAAAAAAAGTCTTAAAATAATTATCGGACTTTGTCCAATTCATAATGTGTGACATCGTTTGTTTACATTTGGATACGCATCGATGAGATATGAATGTACGAGAGAAAATCGTGGAGAATGTAGTTTAAAAACAGTAAAATCAAACTTACCAACTGAAACGTTCCTCTGTGACCCAATCGGTTAAAGGCACATTAGGCTATATGACGGTTCCGTATAGGATACAGGTTTGATTCCTGTCAGAGGACGAATATTTTCTATGAAAATTTCTCGGACATTCAGGCCGGTAAATGTTGTTAATACTGCTTATTATAAACAGAGCATTTACTTAAATATTTGTATCTATAAAAATAACGTATAAACATAAAAATGTCTTAAAATAATTGTCGGACTTTTTCCATTTCATAATGTGTGATATCTATCTATCTATCTATCTATCTCTCTCTGTCTCTCTATATCTGTCTGTCTGTCTGTCTGTGTGTGTGTCTGTCTCTCTCTCTCTCTCTCTCACTCTCTCTCTCTCTCTCTCTATATATATATATATGTATATATACACCATGCATTTATATCTATCTCGATGTGGTCATTTAATATTTGTTTCTTTATATCTATCAAATGGACTGTTCTCAAAAAATACTGCACTAAGATTAAGATCCCCGCAGAAATACAATAATTGATCAATTGAACAGCAAACGTATATACTGTGAATCATCTGTTGATAGTTCTTGTTTGAAAATCACTGATACTGGGCATCAATTGTGAATTCGTCAGTTACTGGTTTTGTAAGCAGTGCATGTCATCCATCGGTGTGTAAGCGTTTGGTTTTGATCCGGATCGTGGACTCTGGGAGGGCATTCGCCGTGCAGATGTTTTTTCCTTATTTCTCTCTAGTGGTTTAAGGCTGGTTTATTTTGAAACATTCTTTGTTTTGCAGCATTTTTTAAAATTGTTTTGCATCAGTTTTTAATTGTTTTGCATCAGGTTTTAATTGTTTTGCATCAAATTTTAATTGTTTTGCATCAGGTTTTAATTGTTTGTCGGCAGTTTTTAATTGTTTTGCATCAAATTTTAATTGTTTTGCATCAGGTTTTAATTGTTTGTCGGCAGTTTTTAATTGTTTTGCATCAAATTTTAATTGTTTTGCATCAGGTTTTAATTGTTTGGCGGCAGTTTTTTTAATTGTTTTGCATCAAATTTTAATTGTTTTGCATCAGTTTTTAATTGTTTTGCGGCAGTTTTTAATTATTTTATTTTTTTCACTTGGGAATGAATTTTTCTTCTGTTTCTGGTTCTGGTTCTCTCAGCTGAATTTCTCGAAGATAATCCATGGAATCCTTTGTCACAAAGTGCAGTTTTTTATCTGGTAACTTCGTGTTTTAGAACCTGTTTTAATACGCAGTCGTTTGTTTGCTGGAAATGAGCCAAACAACTTTGAAGTTTCCAATGCTGGTTTCCGTCCAATTAATCAGCGACTCCTGGAAGGTGCTATCGTTTAAGGATTAGTATTTTCTTTATTTTTGAAAAAGGTTTCAGGTCGTTAATGCAGATCAAATGGCTTCTAAATTTTCTGTCTAGTTTATATCCACAGTTTGTTTCCTTCAAAAGCTTGCTTAAGTCAATCAGTGCGGAACATAACAACAGAGGAGATGGTGAGTTCAGAGACAGATGTTTTTGGCCTTAAATCTAGAACCGATATGGATGCCCCTTCGAGACCAGCAACATTTGATTCAAAGATACAACTGCCAAGATATAGGCTATGAATATATTACGGAGAGTTGAGCGAGCCCATATATCTGGGATTTGTAGGGCTGTAAGCCCCAAGAAAATTTTGAAATTTGAGACATTTACAGTGGAATTTTGAGGCCATAGGAAATAATTATTAGGGAATATTCAAGACGAACATTAGGGTATCCACACAATTAAAAAAAAACAAAATCCCCCGTAAACAATTTAAATGGAGCTCACAACATTGTGATTGGCTGTTGGTCAACTTCCAATCAAATGCGGGTTATGGTTTGCCTAATATAAAGTCAGTGTCTGCAGGCTGTTAATTTAGAGGGCTGATCAAAGACTGATCAGCTCTGATGGGGTCGACTTGGTGAGGGTAGTATGATGTTTGAAAGACCCAAAACTGCCCAATGACTCAAATGAGAACATCACTGATGACGCCCTCTAGCGTTAAAGTGTGTATATTCAAAGTTATCACTGAAATGGTCTTATTTTAATAACAAGCACTATAAAAATACCATAGAGTTTTTGAAAAATTATCTCTTTAAAAAACATCAGGGGCCTCGTTGAGATTAGGGACGCCGTCGCTTGAGCTTCTTTATTTTCACAGTAGATCCGCCAAGATTCTACATTTAATGTTTAGTTCTCTCCAGAATTTAACGTACTGTCCATGGTCAGAATTAATGTTATTTTCCCACTATTCAGAACAGGAGATTCGAAATTTCTGATTATTGGTGAAATTTTACCTACCAATTCTGCAGGAAGACCTAAACCAGGTAGTGGTGTGTTGTTATGGCTACATTTCATGATTTGCTTTCTAACTCCCATAACATCACTAGCGTTACATGGACAAAGTTCTTCTTAGTGTATGGGCTGTATTTATCAAAACAATTTTTTGTATTTCTCTTAAGCTCGAATTTCCAGGGATTTTTTTTCAATATATTGTTGTGTCCCCTTTTTATCATTTTAAGCGCACTTACTATGACTGATAATATTCTTGTTTTCAATTTCAACGTTATTATTATTATTATTATTATATTTCGATATCTGCTATGGTCACCCTACCTACCAAGCCTGCAGGAAGACCTAAAGCAGGTAATGTTGTGTTGCTATGGCTACATTTCATGATTTGTTTTTCTAATTCCCATAACATCACTAGCGTTACATGGACAAAATTCTTCTTAGTGTGTGGGCTGTAGTTATCAAGACACTTTTTTATATTTCTCTTAAGCTGGGATTTCTAGGGATTTTTTTCAATATATTGTTGTGTTCCTTTTTTATCATTCCAAGCGCACCTACTATGACTGGTAATATTCTAGTTTCTAATTTCCATATTTTTCTATTCCGATTTTCAGGTCTTTATATAGTTTTTTTTTTTTCCAAATTTTTTGATTGCTATGTTACAGTCCGCTGGGCAAGCCGTATCAATTAGTAGGCATGTTTTTTTTTTTCTTTTCCGTTTTTGACAATTATGTCCGGCCTGTTTGCTTCAATCTACCTGTCTGTAAAGATGGTTTTATACGATGGAATTGTGATTCTGTTCCTGTAACCGGTGCTGGGTGATGTTTATACCACTGTTTATTAACATCATTTCCAAAGTGTTTGCACATTGTCCAGTATTACTCTACTCTATCGCGACGTTATTTATATTCGTTTGGCACAATTACAGAACATACTGAGATTAGATAGTCTATAGTTTCCTGATGTTTCTCACAGAACTTGCATTTTGGTTCCTCTATCCATCTACGAGGAAGATTGTCAAAAGCCCTTTTGTAATGTACCCAGCCTATTACTGGCATGTTTTTTTATGTTTGTTATTAAAATTATCAACAATAGTTCTGTTAACGAGCAGTTGATCTTTGAATCCATATGAACTCCATTTACTTCGTTATTGTCCGTTAGTGAAAATGCTACTGGTAACGAGGAAATTGGCGGTGCACTCAGTTAGGACAGGGGTCAATATTTTGCATATTGTCGTAACACCAATTACACTGGTCAACAAAAAATAATTTAAAATGGTGTTGACACAACAAACACGTTTTTTTTTTGCTTATATCCGGGCACTGAATCTGAAAGTGATCTTACGTTTTTTGATGTACAGAAATGCCTCATTTTTTTGGTGGGGGGGGAGGAAAGCATTTTTTTAAAATTTGATTTCTATATATATATGATATTGACCGATGGCAATATTTCTCAAAATAAAATCCTAGGAACCTCTCAATTCGTATTTTAACCAACAAATATGTATATATATATTTACAATACAAAATTGTATTGTTTTTTTTTTTTACTAAAAGAGACTTTCGACTAGCTGTCATTGTTTCCTTTCAGATAAGCTCTTAATTGTTTGAATGAGTCCGTTACTACATCTCCGTTGAAAAAACTTCATAAGTGTAATACGAGGTGATATCAAAAATTTCCTTCACAAGTTATGTTAAAAAAATGATATTTATTTTAACATAATCTCCTTGGAAATAGTCGATTTGACGAAACAATACACCGGTCTGAGATTTTCTGCCAAATCCGGCTTAGACGTTGTTATCCGTAAGCGTATATCCGTATATATATATGGAGTTCGATGTATGAGATTCCGACGACCACGAACTAATTATCTATGACGGGCATGACTTTTGAGACCGGCTCGAGAATTGCACAAAAGACCACAAACATTACACGAGAAAGTATTGTAACCAAGTGCAGCAGGAACACTGTTAGATGTCTTATTTTGCTTTCGTGTTTCACCCAGTCGACTGATGCTTACTTCTCAATGGTGTATTATTCCAGAATGGCAGCGAGAACGATACTCATGGCTACCTCTTCAAAGTTCTTGAATGGAATGTTGATGAAGAAAAATTTGGAAAAAACAAACAAAAATCCTTAAATGAAATTATGTTGTTTAAAATGAATGAAATGTCGACGTCTGACGTTTCGGTTTAATAAACCTTCTTCAGGACAATATTCAGTAAAATACAATTCAGTTCAATTTGACAAAGACGATGGACATAAAAACAAGTCTTATCCAAAACAGATAACTGAAAATTTTAAAATGATCAGCTTTCCGTTTAGAATCAAAAATTTTTAGGAATACGTTTTGAAAGCGTCGCCCATGTGACGACAACGTGACCATGCTAAACGGAAAGCTGATCATTTTAAAATTTTCAGTTATCTGTTTTGGATAAGACTTGTTTTTATGTCCATCGTCTTTGTCAGATTGAACTGAATTGTATTTTAATGAATATTGTCCTGAAGAAGGTTTATTAAACCGAAACGTCAGACGTCGACATTTCATTCATTTTAAACAACATAATTGCATTTAAGGATTTATTTTTTTTTTTCCAAATTTTCTTCATTCTGTCGGATCTATATCCATTTACATTTGCTTACATATATATATATATATATATATATATATATATATATATATATATATATATATATAAGTCTTATCTAAATTTAAATGGAATAAATATATATATATAACAAGTCTTATCTAAATTTAAATGGAATAATAATAATAATAAAAAACGAAAGAATATTAATCTACAACCCAGTGTGTCTAATGATTTTAATTTTTTATTTTTAATTTTCTTATTGTTCAAAAATAATATATATATATATATATATATATATATATATATATATATATATATATTTAGGCAATTTTTTTCATTGATGCAGGTTTCATTAAATAATATAGGCAAGTTTTGTCTATTTATTTTAAGTAAGTTCCTTTCATATTGTCTGATAAAAGCTTAATAACATTATCATTGAAAGACGAAAGGAAATCACCATATTGATACATGTTTAAATCCAATCTAAGCTTTCGGCTTACATAAGCCATTATCAAAGATGACAATTTCAATAAATCAAACAACACACAGATGAAACCACAATAATAGTCCGCCCTTGCTGCATGAAAAATTTCAAAGTAACGACAAACTCGTATATACGAGACGCGGAAGCGATAATCGCGTCGCAGCTCGTGACGTCACACATGACCACGCGAGAGTGAAAAACGAGATGTATTAAGTATGAACAAAAGAAAACTATGAAATCTCCACAAATATTCTTGGTTTATACCAACGGCTTCCCCTACTTAATACTAAAGAGTGTCAGATTTAGCAATACAAAAGGACAAATTTTATAGATAAGCCTTTGATAAGGTACGCTATAATGAACGGTTGGAACTGCTAGGTAACATTGATATATTTGGAAAGGATATTACAATAATCCTGTACCTATACAGACAGAAAACCGTCTGCATACGGATAGAAATTGAATTCAGTAAATATACAAAAACAAAAAAGGTTGTAAGGCAAGGATGTGACTTCTTGCCGGACTTATTCAACGTATAGAGTGAGGCGATTCTGAGGCAATTAGAAGTCCTACCAGAATTCATTAATAGCGGCCATGATATTAACAATTTAAGATATGCAGATGACACAGTATTTGGTAGCAGACACAGAAAGAATATTTACAAGAAATCCTACGGAAGGTAGTGAAGGAAAGCGAGAAGAAAGGACTAAACATCAATTTCAAGAAGACAGAGTGCAGGGTTGTTTAGCAAAAGGAACAGCCTAACATTCAAATTACAAATTAGACATTCCCAAATCAAGCGCGTACAACAATTTAAATATCTGAGAAGTGTTTAAACAAAGGACGGAAAGTGTGCTACTGAAATCCGAAGGCGCATTGGGATAGGGAAAGATGCCTTCCAAAAGCTAAGAAAACAATTAAGAAACAGGAAAATTTCGTTAGAAACAAAGAAAAAAATACTGAACTGTTGGTTTGTTTTGTTTTGTTTTACGGCAAATCAACCTCAATGGGTTATTTAATGCCGACAAGATTTTTATTGCTGGTAATATTTTTTTATCTATCTATCTATCTATCTATCTATCTATCTATCTATCTATCTATCTATCTATCTATCTCTATTTCATTGTTTATTATCTATCTATCTATCTATCTATCTATCTATCTATCTATCTCTGTATATATTGGTTTGGTTTGGAATGTTTTACGGTATATCAACCTCAATGGGTTATTTGATGCCGACAAGATTCTTATTGTTGGTAATATTTTTCAAAATCTTATTGTTCGTAATAATTTTGACAAAGTATTTCTCTATTAAACTATTTTTACACTTTCATAGTGTTTTGACCCCAGTTTGGGAGTTAACTATTTGCCCATATCTGGGACCCTAACAGGTGTTACCACCCTGGGTCAGAGTGAACCTGGGAACACGAGCAATTAAGAGGTGATTCCACGCTCCTCAAAACCTCCTGACCAGAGACCCTGCTGTTGGACGTAGTTTATCGTCTTATCCAGGACGCGGATGTAGTTTATCGCCATACCCAGGATGTACTGAACTGTTACGTAATATCAGTCCTCCTGTATGGTAGCGAATGCTGGACAATCTCCTCACAGATGAAGAAGAGATTGAAGCAACAGAAATGTGGTTCTCTAGAAGGATGCTGAGAATACGATGGAACGAACATGCGAGCAACGATGAAGTTTTAGAGAAAATTGAAATAAAAAAGTAACTTATAATTGCACATAATGAGAAAAAAAGGTTGGAAAATTTGATACTCACAAGACAGCTTGAAGGCAAGAGTAACAGAGGAAAACATCATATAATCTACCTAGAGAGCTTGAATAAATGGATGGCAGAAGAGGTTTTGGAAGAGATAAAGAAAAGAACATTTATTAAGAGCTACAAAGACTGGAAATTGTGGAGAGCCATGATCACCATCGTTCTGAGTGGGACAAGTCACTATACTTTGCAAAGAGTTAAAATGTTTGATTTTAATGTACTCGACATGCAGCTCCACACACTGGTCTGTCGATTGTGTTTTGTCTTTTTCCAGTTTAACGTATCATATTCCTTTGGGGCGTCACTCACAGGACAGTTTGAAGGCAAGAGTGACAGAAGAAAACAACGCATAACCTATCTAGAGAGCTGGAGGAAAATGATGGCGGAACAGGGTTTAGGAGAGCAAACAAAAAGACAACATTTATTGAACTACAGCAGAGGAAATCGTGGACTATCTATCTATCTATCTATCTATCTATCTATCTATCTAGTCTGTTCTGTTTCTATCTATCTATCTATCTATCTATCTATCTATCTATCTGTTTCTATCGATTTATCTATCTATCCATTCTATCTATCTATCTATCTATCTATCTATCTATCTATCTATCTATCTATCTTGTTGTTGTTTATTCTGTTCTATTATCTATCTGTTATCTTCTATCTATCTATCTATCTATCTATCCCATTTCTGTTTCTAGTTTCTATCTATCTATCTATCTATCTATCTATCTATCTATCTATCCCGTTCTGTTTCTATCTATCTATCTATCCTATCTATCTTTCTATCTATCTATCCCATTCTGTTTCTATCTATCTATCTATCTATCTATCTATCTATCTATCTATCTCATTCTGTTTCTTTCTTTCTATCTATCTATCTATCTATCTATCTATCTATCTATCTATCTCATTCTGTTTCTTTCTTTCTATCTATCTATCTATCTATCTATCTATCTATCTATCTATCTATCTATCTTGTTGTTGTTATTGTTGTTGTTGTTGTTCTTCTTCTTCTATCTATCTATCTACCTCATATTTTTATTTCAGTTTCTATCTATCTATCTATCTATCTATCTATCTATCTATCTATCTATCTATCTATCCCATTCTGTTTCTATCTATCTATCTATCTTTTTGTTATTGTTGTTGTTGTTCTTGTTGTTGGTCTTCTTCTTCTTCTCCTTCTTTTTCTTCTTCTTCTCTCCCTCTTTTTTTTCTTCTACTACTACAACTTCTTCTTTCCTCCTTCTTCTCCATCTTCAAATTAGTCTACATCATTTTCTTTTCTTCTTTTTCTTTTTCTATTCTTCTTCTCTCCTTCTTTTTCATCTACTACTACTACTTCTTATCACCCCTTTTTCTTCCTTTTACAAGGTTTTCCATATCTACTTCCTATTTTTATTTTCAGTTTCTATCTATCTATCTATCTATCTATCTATCTTCTTGTTCTTGTTCTTCTTTTTCTGTGTGCCTTTGCGAAGAAGAAGAAGAACAACAACAACAACAACAATAAGATAGATAGATAGATAGATAGAAACAATATGAATAGTCTAACATAGATAGATAGATAGATAGATAGATAGATAGATAGATAGATAGATAGATAGATAGAAACTGAAAATAAAAATAGGAGGTATATATGGATAAACTTATAGAGTAACTGTAAAAGTTTCTTTTCAATTTATTCTTTAGTAATATCGACGCTGAATTAGTTTGTCTTTCGCAAAGAAGGGCTTAATATATGGATTATTATAATCCATTAAATCCACTGGCTAGGATTTCATTGCTAACTCGGACGTTGAAACATATATGAAATTGTCACTGATTATATATGCGCATGTGTATGTATGTGTCCACGGCCGGGGAAACGACCCGGGATGGGCTGTGTGTGTGTGGGGGGGGTCAAACATGTTAGAGTCCTTGAAATATTTGAAGTTTATCGTCAGCTAAATGATGAGATCATATGATATGAAGATACATACGCAAAAACACACACACACATATATATATATATATATATATATATACACACAGAGAGAGATAACAAATATTAAATATATATATATATATATATATGAAACTCGCGTTATGCAAACATTGCAGGATATATATATATGTTAAGAAATGGAACCGACAAATATTAAACAAAAGTTATTTTTATAGTGTAAACAAATGCTCTGTTTATGTATTAAACAGTGGATAATTAACATTTACCGGCCTGAACATAGAAAATATTCGTTCAGGATTTGCATCCTATACGGAACCGTCATGAACGCTGGTAAATGTTGACCACTGCCAAACATTAAACAGGGATATAAATATATATATATATATATATATATATATATATATATATATATATATATATACTAAAGTTCAGTATTAAATAACATTTCCTTGAATGAATTTCATTGGTAACATCAACTGATTAAACAACTGGACAACAGGTATAAATATAAACAGACACAATATGTCTATACGATACATTGAAGCATGTTTGAATGAAGATATAAAACGTTAAACCTAAAAAACTACATATATACTACGGTTCCTTCACACAAACTGATATATATATATATATATATATATATATATATATATATATATATATATATATATATAAAAAGAAAGAACAGTAAGATATATAATCCAGTGTTCCAATTGATATTTTATTTTACAAAACAGTGCTCAATGTAAATTTACAGAGTATGAATATTACAAATTAATTGATTTAAAATATGTTTTTTTTTCGCTACACAGGAATTACCATGTTTCAAAAATCGAAGGTAAAATTTCAAATTTAATTATATAAATTCTAATTATATATATATATATATATATATATATATATATATATATATATATATATATATATCAGAGTCTGAGCTATGGAGGAAAGAAATACTGCTATTTTTAGTTTTACGTTGTCTGGTTTTCATTGGTCATTCATGTTTCCCTAGCATTCGACTCTTCAAACTAACGTTAGTATAATTTGTGGCGTTCTGAATTCATGGAGATACGACGCGTCCATCCGAAATTTCAAGAAATTAACCACGATTCCAAGCCTACCTGAAAAGCTATAA